AAATTTTTTAATTTTTACAATGATATATTAAAATAAAGTTATTATAAAGGTTTAATTAAAAAAATTATTAGTAATTGTACTAAAAAATTTCAAAGATAGCTTTTATAAAGTAAGTTTAGTAACAGTGAATTTTTACTATTAAACTTAGTAAAATAACTCTGCATTCTCAGTTTTATTAAGAAAATTTAGTAATAACTGCCATAGCGGCTTCAGTTTACTAAGAAAACTTAGTAATAACTGCCATCTCGATTTCGTAACCATTTTATTATTAAAAAAATATTTCCGAAGCCACGGAGGCATTTTTTTACTAGGTTTTTTAGTAAAAAAATGTTTATGAAGCTGTGGAAGTGTTATTTTACTAGGTTTCTTAGTAAAAAACGTCTCCAAAGCTGCGAAGGCATTTTTACTATGTTTTTTTAGTAAAATAGCATCACCGAAGCCGCAGAGGCGTTTTTTACTAGGTTTCTTAGTAAAAAAATATTTCTGAAGCCATGAAGGCGTTTTTTACTATATTTTCTTAGTAAAATAATGTTTTTGAAAGCCGTAAAGGCGTTTTTTACTATGTTTTTCTTAGTAAAAAAAGGCATTTCTGAAGCTATGTAAGTGTTTTTTACTATGTTTTTCTTAGTAAAAAGATATTTTTGAAGCTGCAGAGACGTTTTTTACTATGGTTTTCTTAATAAGAAAGCTTTGGAGATGGCTTTATTATTGATTTGAATCAAATTAAATATTTGAATACTTGATTTGAATTTGATCAAATCGAATCAAACATTGATTTGGATTTGATCAAATAAATCATTCTTTGATTTGAATTTGATCAAATCAAATATTCAAATATCAAATCGAATTGCGGAACCCTACATTCTCTATTTTGAATGTCATCTATTAATACTTTGGTTATTATTTAATAACTATATAAGTACACTGTGATCAGTACAAATCTTAAACTTCCTTCTATATAAATAATGCCTAAATCTTTCTAAAACCCAAATTATAGTAAGGGCTTTCAGATTCGTGTTAACATAGTTTTACTTATATTCATATAAGATTCTGCTATCATAAGCGATAGGATATTTTTTCTTGCTTATCCTTTTGTGATAATACTGCTTCTACTGCTATTTTTAATGCATCTGTTGTTAGAATGAATTCTTTATTTAAATTTGAATATAATAATACTAGTTCCTTTATCAAGCATTCCTTTAATATTTCAAAAGATTCTTATTGCAGTTCATTTCACTAATACTATCCTTCTATTTCTAAAAGTTTAAATAGTGACTTTGCAATCCTAAAAAATTTTTTAATAAATTTTCTGTAATATACAGTCATCCCAATAAATCTTTTGAGTTTTTTTTGATTCCTTAGTTCTGGATAATCCTTGATCTTAATTACTTTTTCTAGATCTAGTTTGATTTCTTCTACTCCTACTATATGGGAGGTGATCAGTAAAAAAAGGGAAAATCTAAATTTTGGTCAAAATTTATATTATTAAACTAATTGGCTGATCTCAGTTATGTGCACAAATTTAGCTTAATAATAAAAATTAACAAAAATTTTGGATTTCTCCATTTCTACTGACTACCTCCTATATATTCAAAAAACTGGACTTCTCTTGATGTGAAATGGCATTTGTCAGGATTGATCTTTAGTCCTACACTCACTTTTTAATATAGATAATACTTCTTTTATGTTCTTTACATGTTATTATTCAACTATTGATTAGGCAGACTGAAACACGTAATCAATTGAGTAGTAGCAAGATTTAACTCAATCTTTATAATAAATTGGAAGAGATTTTAATTATATTGAACTTTGATTGATGTCAGTGTACTTTTACGATTAAGTTTCTGAATTAGCAAATGTAAAGACTTCCAATCTACTACGGGTGATTCATAATTTCCTAAGAAGTTAGAGAAATTACCTTGTTGATGTTATAATAAACTTATTATAACCAAGTTGGGAGCTTGTCAATAGAAAAGGAGGAAATCTAAAAAATATAAAAATTTTACTTCATATGCTAAATATGATTATTTTAGTAAAATAAGTTCAGATTTAACTTTAACTCATAAAAACTTTTTTTTTAGATTTCCCTCCTTTCTATTGATAAGCTCCCAGTTGGTAATACTCAGCTTAAAATATTTTATGATATTGAACACTTTAATTCGTTGATAACTCTGAACATAGTTATTAACACAAAGCAGATGTTTAATACTTAAGAGATTTATTGACATGAATAAATCAATAATATTAAACACAGTTGACATAAAGTATTTTAACACAAAATATGTTTGATACAGGTGATTGATTCACTAAGACAATTTAGCAAAGATTTTTATTAACTTATAAATTATTCTAAGTTCTTTTCTTTAAACTTCTTTCTAAATTTCTAATGATAAATAATGAAAATCTCAGCTTATTTATAATAAAATTTCTACACTAAATTGCTATCTACTACATAAAAACTATGTAACAATTTTCTCATCTTTCTCTATGTAATTTTATCATAATAATTGAGTAATAACTACCTAATTTCTATGTAAAAGTCCTATAATTATAATATATATTTGAAGAGATATAGAGAACATATTATTCATAAATTTTACTACATCTTTATACTTAACCTTTGACTAGTTTTCCTTAAAGTTTCTATTTAGAGTTTCTAGTTTAGAAGGTTACGCATATTATCATGGGCTAATAATCTATTACTTCATTTCTTTATTAACTGATTTGGTTAATTTCACAGATCACTTTTGCAGATTATTGTGTTATTGATTTTGTAGATCAATTCACATGATGATCATTTGTAGATTACTTTACTGTACTACATTTTTCAATTCTTGAAGACTATTTGGGTTATAATGTTTATTCCATGTCTTTAAGTAGATAGTTATATCATTAATATAGTTTAAGGCAAACTTCCATAATATGTCTTCTAACACATTATTCATAAGCCTCTGAAATGTAGATAAGGCATTGCATAGTTCAAATGGCATAACATTATATTTATATAGTTCATATTTAGTAATAAATACTGTTTTCTCCTTATCTTCTTCTGCAACTTCTACCTGCTAATATCCTGATATTAGATCTATTGACGTGAATCATTGTACTTCTTGAAGACATCAATGATTTTATGAATGAGTGGTAAAGGATATTTATACTTTTTTATTACATTATTCAGTTTTTTATAATTTATACAAAATCTTATTTTGCCATTTTTCTTTTTGACAAGAATAACTGATGTGATCTAAGGATTATTAGATAATCTAATAAATCCCTTTTCTAATTTATTGTTTATCTTCTTCTTGATTATTTCATTTTCTGCTTGTGATTTACAATAAGCTCTTTGACTTATTGGTAATTCTTCCTCTGTATAGATTTTATGCTTAAATGTGTTTATTCTGCTTAATGGCATTGTAATTTTTCCACTTATTCCAATTAATATTCTATCTGGTGTACTATCGATATCTAAACCAATTTTATTTAGAAAGCTTTTTGGTACAGCATTTTCTACTATACCGTATTGATCATTATATTTATTTTTTTTCCAATCACTTTTACTTTTATAAATAATACATCTTTAGATGATTGATTCTGTATTTTTGTACTGGATTCTTCTTTCTCTTGCAGATTATTCTGTGATACAATTCTTGACACTTCTTGGTTAATTCTTCAATTGGATCTAATTTATTAAGAATTTTATATGCAAATCTTATATACATTGGAGTTATTTGTCTATTTTCTATTAAGTTTGATATCTTTCCTGATATATTAATCTCTATAGTTCAGCTTTATCTTCTTCCATCCATATTGGTATTTCTTCCTTCTTTAGTTTTGTAATGTATACATCACAATTATATACAGGATCATTGAATATTTTTCTAATTCTTTTTAATAGAAGTTCTATTCCTACTTCTTAGTGTTTCACAAAAAATCCAATTCAATCTGAATCTTATCCAGATCCGACAGATCGGATCAAATCAGATTTATTAGATTCAAATCAGATTCAGATCCAGATTTTGATTTGATTCAATCTGTCGTATCCAGATCAGATTCAAATTTGGATTTGGATTTGATTCAATCTGACGGATTCAGATTTGAATTCAGATTCGATCTGTCAGATTCAGATTGGATTTAGATTTGATTTGTTGGATTTGAAATAAAAAATGCCGCCCTGAAGTCGAACTAAGTATTTATTATTAAAAAATTTTAATTTTTAATAATAAAATATGCCTTAAAGTCAGACACAGCATTTATTAATAAAAAATTAATAAACTTAATTTTTAATAACAAAATGTCATCCTGAAAGTCAGAGGCGGCATTTATTATTAAAAAAATTAATGTTTAATAATAAAATGCCGCTCCAAAGTCAGATGCGGCATTTATTAATAAAAAAATTGATTTTATTAATTCTTTATATTAAAATGCTGCGCTGAAAGTTAAACGCAGCATTAATTATTAAAAAAATTAAAATTTAATAATAAAATGCCGCCCTGAAAGTGAACATGGCATTTATTAATAAAAAAATTAATTTTTATTAATTTTTTATATAAAAATGCCGCCCCAAAAGACGGAAGTGGCATTTATTAATAAAAAATTTAATTTTTATTAATTTTTTATATTAAAATGCCACCCCAAAAATCAGACGCGGTATTTATTAATAAAAAATTTAATTTTTATTAATTTTTTATATTAAAATGCCGCCCAAAAATCAGATGCAGCATTTATTAATAAAAAATTTAATTTTTATTAATTGTTTGAATAAAAATGCTGCTCCGAAAGACGGATGCAGCATTTATTAATAAAAATATAATTTTTATTAGTTTTTTATATTAAAATGCCACACCGAAAGTCGGACGCAGCATTTATTATTAAAAAATTAAGTTTTAATAATAAAATGCTGCCCTGAAAGTCAGATGCGGCATTTATTAATAAAAAATTTAATTTTTATTAATTTTTTATATAAAAATGCTGCCCCGAAAGTCAGATGCAGCATTTATTAATAAAAAATTTAATTTTTATTAATTTTTTATATTAAAATGCCTCCCCAAAAATCGGATGTGGTATTTATTAATAAAAATTTAATTTTTATTAATTGTTTGAATAAAAATGCTACCTTGAAAGACAGATGCGGCATTTATTAATAAAATATTTAATTTTTATTAATTTTTTATATTAAAATGCCACCCCAAAAGTCAGATGTGGCATTTATTAATAAAAAAATTAATTTATATTAATTTTTTATATTAAAATACTGCCTCGAAAGTCAGACGCAGCATTTATTAATAAAAAATTTAATTTTATTAATTGTTTGAATAAAAATGCCGCCCTGAAAGACGAATGCGACATTTATTAATAAAAATTTAATTTTTATTAATTTTTTATATTAAAATGCCGCCCGAAAGTCAGATGCGACATTTATTAATAAAAAATTTAATTTTTATTAATTTTTTATATAAAAATGCGCCTTGAAAGTCGGATGCGGCATTTATTAATAAAACAATTAATTTTTATTAATTTTTTATATTAAAATGCCACCCTGAAAGTTGGACGCAGCATTTATTATTAAAAAAATTAAATTTTAATAATAAAATGCTACCCTAAAAGTCGAACACAGCATTTATTAATAAAAAAATTAATTTTTATTAATTTTTTATATAAAAATGCCAATCCGAACGTTGGAGGTGGATTTTTTGTTAAAAAAAACAAAATTGTTGTTTTTTTAACATTAAAACGTCGTTCCAAACGTCAAAGGCAGATTTTTGTTAAAAAAAAACAAAATTATTGTTTTTTAACATTAAAACACCGTTCCGAGCATCAGAGGCAGATTTTTGTTAAAAAAATTTTTGATCTGTCAGATATAGATACAGATTCGGATTTGTCAGATTCAGATACGGATTTGAATTCAGATTTGTTGAATTCAGATCAAATCAGATTCGGATTTTTCAGATTCAGATCGAATCAGATTTTGCCCAATTCCGATCTGATCCGATCTGTGCAGAACACTACTGCTTCTTCTGAAGTTTCTCTTAAATATGTTTCTGCTGATCATTCAAAAGATTCCATTTTTTCACATATGATTTGCCAGAGTCCTGTCATTACTTTAGTATTTTCACTTTTTTTAGATATCTAGATTCTGTCTTGATGGTGATATAATATGTTAAGAATATATTTTGGAGATTTTGGTCATTCTGCACTCTCACCTCTAATTTCTCTTTATTCTTTTTAGGTTTATCAGAATACATATATATTCTTGATAATTTTTCATTATTTTTAGCGGATTTCTCTTAACTTATATTTGTTTTAAATAGTCTGCTCATCTTAGGACCTTTTTCTTTGTCTTCTGAAAATTTTTTAGGTTTAGAGCATCTAGTCAAAATATGTTTCTCATCACAGTTGAAGTATTTTACGTTCTTTATTTCCTTGCAATCCCTTATAAATGACTGATTTCTTGACAATTTATAACATTTTTTTACAATACATTCACTTGCCTAATGATCTTGTTTTTCACATTTTAGACAGGATCCATTTGACGTATCATTTTTAATTTCTTTTTCTTATTAAAGGATTCTTTTGATTATCACTTCAATAGTTTCTTCTCTATTAGAAAATTCTCTTTCCTTTTTTTTTCTGGATAGTGATTCAGTTTGACTTTTTTACCAGTTACTTCCATTTTGATGTTTTTTGCGATTTTCATTATCTTAACTTTTTCAATAGCTTTCTCAATTGTTAAAGACATACTCCCTTATATAGCTTCAATGTATTTTGACAGAAATCCTCTCACAAAGTTCATGATTTGTCAGCTTTAGCTTTTCACTTTAAGGAATTTACTCTTCTTCATAATCTCTCAATTTGGCTGTATATTATGTAATTATCGTATTCTTTTGTTGTTTTAGGTTTCTCAATTCTTGATCTCATTGAGTTCTTCAATATATGCTATAATACTCATTCATGAAGAGATTTACAAAGGATTTATAACTCTTGTCTAACTGATTCCAGTATTTCACATTTTATGAATTGTATCAGGTGTAGGTTTCTCCTTTAAAATAAGAACTTACTATTTTTTAGTATTCAATTTTCTTCTACTCTATTTGCTATACACACTTCTTTAAATACTTCTAGCTATACTATTGGATCTTGTAATTCTTTTTTGAATGTGGAAAAATCCACAAGTCTGGTTTCTCAAATCCGAGATTCAGTTTCTCTTGTTCCTTTCATGCTTTTAGTAAATTCCTTAAAAAATTGTTTTATAAGTCCCTTCATATCCTCTTCTTCTTTATTATCATCTGCTCCATCAGCTATGCTAGTTTTCTTTGAAGTATATATATGATTACTTCTGTCAGTGATATTTAATCCTCATATTGATCTTGTAATATATTTTCTAATTGTAAGGGTTTGCTAGTTAGATCCTTTAGGACTTATTATGAACTTAACATTTCTCCTACTCCTGTTACTACTTAGTATTCTTCTTATTTTTCAAGTTCTTTGCATTTTCTAAATCCATCTGTCTTTTCAAATTCAGAAAGTAATCTTTTATACAGTCCCTCAAATCTAGTTTCTTTTGTATAAATTACACTATATATTACTTCTCTTAGTTGATTCTTGATTTTCTTTAGGTGAGTTTGACCATACCTTATTTTATAAGCTATACTGTTGCTTCTATATATCGATTAATAGGTACTTGTTCACTAAGCTAAGTAATTGCTTTTTGAGTTTTAACAATTATTTGGTCTTCTTTTATTGAATAACATTTTTCATAAATGTAATCGATATTATTTCTTTTAAGTGGATGGTTTGCTGAATAATAATTCTCCTGCTTTTTCTCATATGTTTTTTACATTGTTCTAGTCATTTTGGTCATAATATATTGAATAAAACTTTTAGTCTAAATCTAGTTGGTATTCTAGAAATTTCAACTACTTCATTTATATCTATTCAATATTCTTATCTTTATAAATACTTTTATAAAATTCAAGAATTTGATATAAAAGTTCTTATTTTTTCTCTACCTTATATAAATACCTTTCGATTATTCTATGTCAATAATATTCTTCACAGATTATTTCAATTGTTAATTCTCTATTTTTTTTCCAAAGGTGTTTTTTTGGAAATTCTTTTTGGTTTGCAACAATTATTGTTGATAATTTTGTTAGGAAATATTTTTTTTTCACTGACATAGTTATTTTTTAGCTTCTTCTTTTTGTGTTAATCTTTTTCATTTATTTAACTCCACTTTAGATTTCTTCAAAAATCAATTCTTCAATATCGATTTCTAGGTCTAATTTTTCAATAAGTTATTTTACTTTATTAATTGCTTTTTGAATTTTCTTTAAAGTTGAAAAGTCGATAGTTTCTTCTTGATTTTGATAGTAACTTTTGATTTAGTTGACTTTAAGCTATACTTGATAAAAGGTTAGCTTTTCATATTCCTTGAAGTTTTTCTTTGCTTGATAAATTTTTCCCAAGGGTTTTCTTTCTTAAGACTTTTTACAGTCTTATTATTTATT